TTGGTCCGGTTGTGGGGCTTGAACTCTGGGCCTGGGCACTGTCCCTCAGCTCTTCAGCTCAAGGCTAGTGCTCTACCACTTGAACCACAGCGCCACTTCTGGCTTTTTTCTTTTTGCTTATGTGGTACTGAGGAATCGAACCCAGGGCCTCGAGCATGCAAGGCAAGCACTCTACCACTGAGCCACCTTCCCAGCCCAGGGTGAGTTTTCTTTATATATGTTTTTTGTTAGTGCTAGTCTTGAGACTTCAACTCATGGCCTGGACAGTGTTCCTGAGCTTTTTTAGCTCACGGCTAATGCTCTACCATGTGAGCCATAGCTGTACTTCAAGCTTTTTGGGGGAGTATTCATTGGAGATAAGAGTCTCACAGACTTTCCTGCCCAAGCTGACTTCAAACTGTGATCCTCAGATCTCAGCCTCCTGAGTAGCTAGGATTACAGGTATGAGCCATCAGTGTCTGGCTTTATATCTGTTTTCTAACTTTATTTTTTTGCCATTTGAATTTGGGCTTTCATGCTTGCTAGGTAGGTACTCTGCTCTTAAGCTGTGCCCCTAGCTTTGTTTTCTAATTTTAAAGATTATATTCTAAGATAAAACAAAGTTGTCTTTAAACAGTTTATACATTCAACTCTCCCATTGCAAAATAGTACATATGATTAATTTGAAGAACCACTTCTCACTTTTTGGTAGTGAAATGAAGGTAACAATCTCGGAGACTTTCCTGGCCGAGTGAGCTTCCAACTGCTATCCTCACATTTCAGCATCCTGAGTAGTAGCTAAGATTACAGGCATGAACCACCAGCCTAGCTAAGCAATTGCTTTTAATTTTTCAGTTTGACTAAAGATTATACCTTAATTGTCTCACATATGAGATTTATTATGCTTCATGATGTAAGGCAAGAAGATGGAATAAAGAACTTCTTCACTGATGTCTATGATTTATACATAAAGGTAAGGTAAGGTCTATAATTTTTAAAAGTCTGATTGTAACAAGGGATTCTGGCTTTGACAGGAGACTGCCCTGTTTAAGCATGTCTCTCAAGCTGCAGTTTTCATTTTAGACTAGCTTTCACCCAGTTAGAACTAGCTCTGCCAATTTTCCCAGTGGCCAAGTATTCCCTGCCAAATCAAATGATATTCAGAAAAAGTCAGGGTAGTGAGTTTTAAGTTACTGTGAAGGTAAGTCAGTGTCATTCTTCCCCTTTGGTTAAGAGACTTGACTTTATTATGGATTCCTAAAGAGCAAGAATGCAGTCTACCTTAGGGAAAATGCTTTAAAACTTTTTCCATTGACTTTACAAATCAGTTGCAGTTTACAAATAATTTGCAGTGATGACTATAGATCACAAATTGATATGAAGTGGTTTTTGTGGTTTTGTTGGTGGTATATGTGCCACTACTGGGGCTTGAACTATGCCTCACTCTCTTACATAGCTAATTTGCTCAAGGCTGCTGTTCTAGCAGCTGAGCAACACCTCTACTCCCAGCTTTTTGCTGGTTAATTGGAGATATTTGTCTGCTCAGGCTGGCTTCAAACCAGCATTGTCAGATCTCAGCCTCCTGAGTAGCTAGGATTATAGGTGAGACCCACTGGTGCCTAGCAGGAAGTGATTCTTTTATCATCAAATAGCCATTTGAGGACAATGGTGCCGCCTGTTTGTTTTTTAAATGGATATATTAAATTGACAAATGAAGCAGTAATAGGATGTCAGACTATAGTGCCAACAACAGTATGTTCTTAAGTATGGTCTATGCTTTTGAGTTTTTGAAATTATTACTGTGAAAATACTGTACAGAGGGGTTACAATTACATGGGCAAAATAACCAGTACATTTTTTTTATCAAGCATTGTTGCCTCCTCCTTTGTTTCCCCTTCCCTAAAGCACAATAACAAAATTGGACATTCAGTATTTCTAGTCAAAGGTGACAAATACTTTTTCTCACATATTATAATACATTTACTGTATCAGCTAAGGGAACTGTTACTTAGACCTGTGCTAGAATATTACATGCACAGATAACAAGCTATCATGCAAGGTAATACATTTCTATAATCGCAGCACTCAGGAACTGAGACAGGAATATCTATAGTTCAAGGTTACACAGTTAGACTGTCTCAAAAAGGAAGTCCCATTAAGAGTTAACTTGCTGGGCACTAATCCCAGTTAATCAGGAGACTGAGATCTGAGGATCATAGTTCAAAGCCAGCCCAAGTAGATAAATACTTCAGTTCACCATCAAAAAGCCAAAAGTGGATGTATAGCTCAACTGATGAAGTGCTAGCCTCCAGTGAAAAAGCTAAAGGCAAGCACAAAGCCCTGAATTCAAGCCCTAGTACTGGCATAAACACATATACAAAATAAGTTACTACGCAGCAGTAATGGTGTCACTGTTTTTTTAACTCTAAATGTATGTCAGATTTTACATTTGTTTATATAGTCCAAAGGGATTGACAGTCCGTATATTTGTTATGAATACATTAGACTAGTATTTCACAAAAGGGTGAATTTGCACAGGCAATACTTGACACACAACTATTAGTTTAGCCACAGGTACTTCTCAAAGCTAAAGCACCATAAGAAAAATTCTCTTTAGGAGATGTTAGTGTTTAACAATGGAACATTTTCAATGAATCTTAAAAATGAAATCCTCAGACTTTTTTTAAATGTCTTTTGAAATTTAAAACTAGAAAATAATTTCCTTTTAAGGACTTGTGATTTGTCATCCTCTGCTTTGATAAGCTCACTAGTCCTCTCTTCTTTTCCTAGTTTGCAATGAACCCATTTTATGAGCCCAATTCTCCTATTCGGTCAAGTGCATTTGACAGAAAAGTTCAGTTTCTTGGGAAGAAGCACCTTTTAAGCTGAGTGCAGAAAAGTCCTGAAAAACAATGATGTCATCACAATAGGGAATACTCAGGAATGTGTGCATTGTAAGTAAATTTATTAAACAACTTGGAAAACTCATCTGTGTCTGTTTATCTAAATGTAATATAATTGCTTAAATATTCTAAAATAATGCAGTCTCATGCTGATTATCAGTATTAATATGCTTGCAGAATTATTAATGTTTATTAATAATTTTGAAATTTTTATTTCAAAAACTGAGACTAACCTTTTGGCTTTCTTGATTCAGGTGGCTTGATCTTAATATAACAATTCAAAAACAAATATCCTCAAGGTTTGGTAGATTTTAAACTAAAAGATTCTGCAGAAGTAAGCTGGGTACTGGTGACTCATACCTCTAATCCTAGCTACTCAGGAGGCTAAGATCTGAGGGTTGCAGTTCAAAGCCAGATCAGGCAAGAAAATCCATGAGACTCATCTCCAGTTAACACCCTCCTAAAAAAAAGCTGGAGGAAGAGCTGTGGCTTAGGTGGTAGAGTGCTAGTCTTGAGTACAGAAGTTCAGAGACAGCGCTGAGGTCCTGAGTTCAAGCCCCAGCAGCAGCACAAACATGCACAAAGATTCTGCAGAAGTCAATGAAATTAATAGCATACATTTTGACTTATTTATATACATTTGGAGATGTTATTAAAAAAGGCTTATAATACCCAGTACTACTTAAGAATGTAAAGCCAAAAGCTTTTCCAGTATAAAAATGTTGCATGTCAGATACTGAGAATAGTGATTCTTCTATAGTTTTAGAATCCTGGACATTACAGTCCACAAAGAAATATGCTGCATCTATCACATTATGTTCTTAGATTTCCTTTTTCTTAAACAGTAAACTAAGGGTTAAATAAGACTCGGTATCTATTCCTAAAAAAGTGTGATTTGAGAACTGTTATTAAAAATAAGTTTGGACCATGTGCCAGTGGCTCACACCTGTAATCCTAGCTGCTCAGGAGGCTTAAATCTGAGGCTCCTTATTCAAAGCCAGCTCAGGCAGAAAAAAGTCTGTGAGATTCTTATCAGAAAACCGGAAGTGGCACTGTGGCTGAAAATGGTAGAGCACTAGCCTTAAGTGAAAGAGCTCAGAGACAGTGATCAGGATCCAAGTTCAATCCCCTCCCTCTCCCAGAAAAAAAAAACAACTTGGATTCCATTTATGTTTTTACTTGGCCTTTTAGTTTATAAATCAGTGGGACCCAGGAGGGGTCTCTTCTGATTTGACTGTAAAATAGTACATCTGTGGAAAAGCAAGTAATATAGCCAGATTTTTATGTGACACTTGAAGAGTGTTCAATTCAAAAAGCTTTTGAGCAAGAAAATCTACGCTTTATCTCGTGTGCTTGTGTGAAGTTGCTATCATTTTTACTCTATTTATTTGAAATCTTAAATAGATATATGTCCACGCTTGTGGTGACATAATGTCTTTTTGTGTGTGCTGATACTAGGGCCTGAACTTAGGGCATTGAGCTCTTAGCTTTTTTCCTTCAGACTGGTGCTCTACACTTCTGCTTATGGTATTTTGCTGTTTAACTGGAAATAAGTCTCAAGGACTTTTCTGCCCTGGCTGGCTTTGAACCACGATCCTCAGATCTCAGCCTCCTGAGAAGCTAGATTACAGGCATGAATCATGGGCATTTGGCTGATGTCCACTTTTCAAGTGCTGTTCAATACCCTTTGCCCACTTTTCATCCTGCTTTCCTATTGAAAGTCTACAAACTACTGTTAATCCATTAGACAGCTCAGATCACCTCCAGCTAGGTTCCAGAGCTTTGGGAACAGGAGTGGTACAGACATGCTAATAGGAGAGCTGCAAACATGTAGTTACTGTTTATAACTTGCCCCACCCTCACTGAGCATATACTTCCAGCCAACCAGGAACAGCAGCGTGTTACAGCAAGATTTAGGGGTGAACACCAGACTATAATGGCCTTTTCTCCATGTTTGTGAAGGTGAGATGGTTACTAGGCGTGTACACCATGTAAATTACCAGTAAAGTAGCAATTTTCTCATTTGGCTCTTTCATTGGAGTTCAAGGAAAGAGTCTAGCAGTGAATGGAACCTCAGGTAGATCTCATAGGACAGTGCTATTACAGAGTTGGGTTTGCTTAGCCAGAGAAAGCACTGAACATTGAAAATGCTAATCTGCCAAAATTTAGATGTGGTACGTAATGTCTCCGCAGATTCTGGAGCACAAGATTGATGGGGTGAAATGAGTCGTGAGAAAAATCAGGATGCACTGAACACATGCATGCCAGCACTACCCTTACACATTTATACTTGGTATAGATAACGTCCACAAACATGGTTTTACCCTCTTTGTATAGCCGGGAATTTCCTAGGATACTTCAATGTCCAAAATCTGATATTATCAGTCTCTGCTCTGCTCATACACCTACTCCAGCATTCACTTCCTGGTTGTCAGTCTAGGGCATTCCAGAAAATATAGCCAGTCCAGACCTTTCACTCAGTACCTACTTTTGTCGGTTTTTTTCTACTTCACACTTTTACTGCCTTACAAGACTTTTCCCTCAGTAGTTTCCAACGAGTGGGATTGGGAGAAAAATGTATCATTACATCAAATTATTCAAATTCTATACTCCCTGCATGACAATGATCTCTTGTTCCCTACCTGGCATGGCCCTTAGTAACCCTGCAGCTCCACACACACAGTTGAGGGAGCGTCCCGACCACATCAACTGCAGTGGAGGCTTTGATTTGCCTCTGGAGAACAGGACTCATTGGTGGCCCAGCATATGAACCTGACTCCTGAATGACCAATTTGCTTTCAGTCTGGTCTTTGCAGTCACACCAATTATTTATGGGGTGGGGAGAAGGGGACCCGAGAGCATGTTCAATGATAGAGAAGATACTAAACACATACCTGAGCAAATCAAGTTGTCTTCATTTACCCTCTCACAAAGTACCATCTCTACTGCTTCCTCCAAGCTGTTAGGAAGGGGCTGAGTGCCTGTGTGGCACATGAACGAGGAACAATTGTGAGATCAATTCAAATGCAATGGAGAATAAACGGGAGAAGTAAAAAAAAAATGCTCTGATGTAAATAAATATATAAAGCAATGCAACAGAAACACATTAGATTTTAATCTTTAATATTTATTGCTTTAGGAATTATTTCCCCGAACCAAGAATAGAATGCTAATTACATAAAAATATACACATATAAAAGTAGTTTTCCATTTTTCGGGGGGGGGGACACACAAGTATAACTTCCAGAATATCCAAGATTTTTGTTTGAAGTACAATTAAATTCATGGTCATTTCATTAGTGCTAACTTAACATGTTTAAATTAAAGAAACATCAGACAACCATTACAATTTCTAAGTGTAAGGTGTCATTACTGAGTAAATAGATTTCCCCAGAGTGGATGTGTCCCTTCTGCCACCAATTAATGAAGCAGCAATATACATTAGTTTAATTTTATTAGTAAATGAACACTGCTGCAAATGCTAATTCATTTAGCCACCCTCATGTTTACTGTGTGTAAACATGTGAGCTGGTTAGAATGCATGGACTATTACAATCAACAGCAAGATGAGTTTGGCTTAGGCTTTCGGTGGAGATTGATCGTGTCTGTCTGGATCAGATGATCTGACCTATCCTCGGTAGCTAGAACTCTTCGAACTGCCTCCTCAAAGGCTGCTGCCACATTGGTGGCATCTTTTGCACTGGTTTCGAAGTAAGGACAGTCGCCGTTGTCTCTGCACCAGGCTTGGGCTTCCTCTGTAGACACCTGCCGTTCGCTTATATCGATCTTGTTGCCCAAAATCACAAAAGGAAAACTTTCGGGCTCTTTTACATCTGCATAATATATGAATTCTTTCTTCCAGTTGCTCAAGTTCTGGAAGCTCTGTGTATCATCCACACTAAAAGTGAGCAGGCAGCAGTCAGAACCTCTGTAAAATGGTGTCCTCAGGCTTCGGAACCGCTCCTGCCCAGCCGTGTCCCAGATCTGCATGGTAACAAAATGTCCATCCACCTCCAAATCTTTATTTAAAAATTCCACACCTATTGTGTGGAAGAGCTGGGCATCAAACTTATTAGTTACGTATCTGTTCATCAGAGAACTCTTCCCAACTCCACCATCTCCAAGGAGAATTACTTTAAAAAGTGAGGATTTTCCTGCCATTATTAATGATTTTTGACTTCAAAACCCTGGAACAGAAAAAGGTAGCATTACATCCTTTTACATCCAACACTCCTCTGCATGATTGTAGGGCTACTACCACTTAAGTCAAAATAAAACATACAGCCTGGATTCCTCTTTGTAAAGGGAAGCCCTAACTAACAAGAATTGTCATTTACTGCTAGGTGCGAGACAATCCCTTCCCATTGTGTCCTGGAAGAGCTAGAAGGGGCTTACTTTTCCCTTTCACAGGTCAAGACTAGTACTGCAAGCTAGGACCCCAGGCAAAATCTGAGTCCCATCCCAACACTTAAGAGATAATCCTGCCCAGCTGACTACAGGCCACTCTGCCAGTTAAAGGGACAAAAGTCCACAAGACTCCTTAACAATTCCAAATAGCCTCTAGTGCTGAATTATGGATGGTGTTCACTGATGGTGCTCCTTGTGCTAGGGATGGTCTCTACTACCTCTCCCTCTTCTTTCTCCAGACAAAGGAAATGTTAAGCAGAAAAGCTAGAGATTTCTAGAAGCTCACTGATTGGGATAAAATAAACCAACCACTGAGTAAATGGAGTTTCTCTTTATTAGGAGCACTACTTTAAGTTGCTAAAATGAGTGTTGGTATCAATGGAATTTTTTAATAATATAATCTAGCATTCTGTATTCACAAAACTCCTTTGGGCAGCTCCAACTCTTAGCATATATGAGCCTGTACGGTTATGAATAGAGTGAAAAAGACCTGGAAGGAAAATGTGCTACTACCCCTTTAAAGGAAGTCCAAGGACAAGATTCAACTTTCCTATACGCCAAGAACCAGCCTTGTGGGAGTGGAATCGCTGTTGCCTCTTGACAGCTGCTTCTAAGTGCCAATGAGAGCAATGCTCCTAATGAGAGTTTTTGTTCCATTTTTTATTATGGAACATTTCGAACATACTGAAAAATATTCAAAACTTCTGAACTCCCATAAGCCCTAATTCCACCTTTATCAATTACCAGTGTATGCTAAATCCAGTTTCTTCCATAAAACCCTAACTTGTTTTTGTCCCCAGTTATTTTGAATCAAACTATCAATTAATCTGTATCTATTTCATTACTAAACATTTTAAGTATACTAAAATTTCTAGAGGAAAATAAACTCTAAAAGAGAATTATATACAATGATGGAAACATTCACTATGACAGTCATTACATGTGATTGATGGGAGGAACCAAATTTGCCTTTTTTTTTTGGTGCTGGGGATTAAACACAGGGAAGGCCCTGTGCATAATTACACTTAATCTTCCACTGAGCTACACCTCAGCCTCATTTATGTAATTTTAACTCATTTAAATATAGACACACTTATATCAAAGGTGATGTTCTGTCAATGCCCTGACTACATTTAGTAAAAAGACCTCAACCTTCTTAATTTTCTAGCACAGGTAACAATTCCCTAAATTAGAACTTTTGTTTAATTTTTTTGAAATCTTGCGTAAATAACTACAAGAGATGACCAAAACAAAAAAGCAAACAAACTAGTTGTGCCACCTAACAAATGACTCAACATCAGACAAAATATGTAAATATATATAAATAAAATGGTAGGCCCAAAGACTATAAAACAGCTGAAAAATTCTCATGACCCAGTCCTCATAGTGCATCAGTGTATTTGTGATGATGCTGGTGTAAACCAGCCTCCCATGTTACGTGTCATCAAAAAATACATCATGTGTAATTATATATACTTAGTTGCTGGTGTACAGTTTAGATGCTAGTAATTACAAACAGCTACCAAATTAAGTTTTAAGAATCCCTTGAGATTTTATAAGGTAGAATTTTTATTAGGTCACTTTGATAGTCATTTTTTCATAATAATGCAGGATTTCCTACTCTCTGTCATTATTCTGACCAAAGAAATTTGGGGTATGCAAACCCCACACACCAGGAACTAAGGAATAATCTTTATGGGTATGTCTGTCACTTGTGGGGCCTGAACTCAGGACCTGGGCACTGTCCCTAAGCCTTTTTCGCTCAAGGCTAGCACTCTACCACTTTGAGCCACAGTGCCACTTTCCAATTTTCAGGTGGTTAATTGGAGATAAGAGTCTCATGGACTTTCCTACCTGGGCTGGCTTTGAACCGCGATCCTCAGATCTCAGCCTCCTGAGTAGCTAGGATTTATAGTCATGAGCCACCAGCACCTAGCAGGAACAATTTTTAAAATATTTCCAATCTACAGTTTGGGAATCCCCCCACACATACCTTCCTATTTGTTAACATAATTATTATATACATTACTACCTCTTTGATTCTAACAAGTTATATACAAACGTACATGGTGGTGTAAGTACACAAATTTTTTTTGGGGGGGGTCCGGTCGTGGGGCCTGAACTCTGGGGCTGGGTGCTGTCCCTCAGCTCTTCAGCTCAAGGCTAGCGCTCTACCACTTGAGCCACAGCACCACTTCTGGCTTTTCTTTTTTCTTATGTGGTGCTGAGGAATCGAACCCAGGGCCTCATGCATGCAAGGCAAGTGCTCTACCACTGAGCCACCTTCACAGCCCCACAAATTATTTTAATTTCCACTAATAAACATCTAACTAGCCAATTTCATTCAATCTATACATGAACAAAATCACAATGAGTATATGGACATTAAAAATGTTCCTTTTGTATTCTCTAAAAAGAGAATTCCTTGAAATTTCTTTAAGTATTTAAATAAATCAAAGTATCTTACTATGTTATTCTAAAATTTTAACTAAAATGTAATATGAAATCTCTTAAATTCCAATTTGGAATGATTGTCCAAAGACAATAATCACCACTATGGTTAAACATTACTTACATTATACAACTAATTTCAAGTAAGTCTGAGAAGAAAAAGATATACAGGTCCTAAACCTTACCTTAACAGCTCAGTTCAAGCATCATTAATCTGCAAAGAAAAAGAAAACAACAGAAAACTCACATTTGTGATATACATTTATTTTCACAATTTCAAGAGTAAGAATAAGAACTACGATGTGAAAGAAATACTTAACTTCTATTACCATCCAGATTCTTTTTTCTTTTTAGGTCCTGGATATTAAATCCCAGGCTTGTTTTTACCCCTGCTAAGCAAAATGCTCTACCAGTTCATCCATACTCACACAATCACCAGATTCTTTATTTCAACAAAAAGTATATCTGCTCACCATTTTTTACTGAGTTGCTCATACAGAGATACCTAAAAATTATATTAAGGAGAGAATAAAATAACCCAGGCACTGGTGCTCACACCTGTAATCCTAGCTACTCAGGAGGCTGAGATCTGAGAATCACGGTTCAAAGCCAGTCCAGGCAGGAAAGTCTGTGAGACTCTTACCTCCAATAAACCACCAGAAATCCGGAAGCAGCCCTGTGGCTCAAGTGTTAGCATGCTCTCCTTGAGCTGAAGAGCTGAGGCACAGTGCCCAGGCCCAGAGTTCAGGCCCCACAACTAACCAAAAAAAAAAAAAAAGAAAAGAAAAAAAAAGAATAAAATAGAAGAAAAGCAATTTGGAAAGCTGTTGGGAAAGCTATTTCTTAGGAGGAGGAAGGGAGGGAGTTTGATAGAGGGGGTGAAATTGATTGGAATACAATGTGAACATGTGTGAACTAACATGAAATCCCTCCCCCACAATAACTGATATACACTAATCAAATATATAAAATAAGATTGAAACAAAACATAATACTTCATGAATTCTTCAAAACTTTCCCAGATTTTGAGTGGCTGAGAATAAGTCATATTCCATAGAATGAAATGGATCTCATACTCAAGGAAAAACAGAGGAGCCATGCAGCAAGGGAGAGGTGGCAGCAATGTGGTACAAGGCAGGCTTCTGGGCATCCAGAGCAAAGGAAAACTTCTCTGAGTCAATAACAACCGTCAGAAAGAAGAACTTGCTCCTGGCAAGTTCTAATGGTCAGAGCACACTCCTGTAGGTGGTCAAGCTACTTAACAGCTTGAAAAAGAACAGCATTACCTACCTCGTAGAGTTTCTGGAAAGATTCACTCATATGACAGGACACAAGGGTTTCATTACAGTACCAGGCTCATTAAAGGAGGAAGGGAAATTCCTGAGAACTGAACACATGAAGCAATCTTTACTCGCAGTTTTACAGACAGATTCTTTCTATGGCCATTAGTTTTACATTTAACTGTTTAGCTAAAGAGCTAGAGCCAGAACAAGTTACATGCGGTCTCTACATTAGATAGCCAAAGGATCAAATTCAATGTGAAGGTTTCCCTGTGGTACCTATGTAGAACTATGCTAAACTACAAGGACTCTTTCTCTAAGTTTCAACCCCACCCACCCATTTGTCACAGCCTCACGCTTGCAAGACAGATCTTCTACCACTTGAGGCACACCTCCACTTCTAGCTTTTTGCTGGTTAGCAAGATGACAAGTCTCTTGAATTTGTATGCCCTGGCTGGCTTAGAACCTTCATTCTCCTGAGTAGCGAGAATTTTTGTATGAGCCCACAGGTATCCAGCAAAATGTTGACTTTCAGAGTTAAGGATAAAATAACAATAACAGCCAACACTGACTGAGCCCTGTTGCCATTTTATTCCTCATACATTTCTTACTAGTCTTACATCATAGATGAAGATACAGACTCAAGGGAGGTGACATCAGTTATTGAAGATTATACAACCAGTGAAAGGTGGGAGTAAGATGTAAATGGGGAAGAATGATGCTAAAGCCCAAGTACTTAACCCACTGGGCTACTACAATCACTACTGCTTTAGCTTTTGTTTCTATGAGTCTTACAGTTGTAAAAGCAGAGTGAAAAATAGTTCCAGACAGCAATAGTCTTTTCAACTGTTTAAGAACTGAATAGGGATAAGTGATCTAGTCTGCCAATATAAGGAATGGGGTACATTTTGAGTATACTCCTGTTTTAGTAGAGCATAAGTAATTTAAAATGTTTTAAATGAAGGGTCAGTCAAATGTTTTCAACTTCTCCACAGAAGCCTAGTGCTCCATAGAACAGGTAGGAAAACAGTTTTTCAACATGGATTTAATGAGTGCTATCTATGAGCCAGACACTTAAGGATACAAACCACACACACATAGCCCTACTCTGAGTACGAGTGACATAACACACAAAACCACGTATGTCACACCCCAGTGGCAAGAATTAGAATCTAACTATTCATCCAAAACCAAAGAACTTAAAAATAGTGTCTCACCATCTCCCCCAGTGAGAAGCACAAAGTGCAAACTGAATTCTCTTAATTAGACCTAGATTTTGCACACCACTATCTCATCGAACTATGTGGGAAGACTTACTTTGCATACAACGTGATCCTGTAAACAGAAACCAATTGTTTCACCTGCCAACACCAAAGGGAAACTGGGTTGTATTACGCTGTGCTAATGAGAGACTGTACATAGGTTACCAGTGTGATGTGTCTCAATGATTGTGCTAGCCACACAGTGACCTTAGGACCCAGACCTCACCGACGGAAGAGAGGGGAATTTGACTAAGCAAAACTCAGCAGCAAGAGGGGAGAAATCAGAAGACAGGAGCATGATGGGCAAGTCCAGATCCCGTAGAATTATGGTTGCAAGTGAATGAGGGAAGGTAAATGAGGAATATTTGTTAAAATCAGAATGATAGATTTTTGTCAAGGTTTGCTACTGTCTTGTCTTTTTTATTTTTCAGGGTTCTTTTGGTGGATGAAAAAATTCTGGAATTAGCAGTGATGGTTGTACAAGTTGGTGACTGAAAAACCACTGGACAGTATACTTCAAAATGGTGATTGTGGTAGGTGAGAATATATTCATACACCTATACATTCACATGTACATATACATGCTATACATACAGAGATACCCTGAGAACTAGAAATTCTACCCTAGAACTGGATTTATATAATTAAAGCTACAAATGATCTCCTTACTCCTTTAGTGGCATCCAAATTCTTTTTTCTGACAAGGCCATTTAGATATTTATAACATCATTCATGGGCCATGTAAACTTATCAACATGGGCAGGCAGTGGAGGGAATCAATGAAAAGCATTCAAGTCTTCCCCCCATTCATATACCAATGTTTCCACGGGCAGAGCTTTCCCACCCTGGAATTTCTTTATACAAACAATAGATAGATATACTACCTTAATAGTATGACTTGGGTTGTTTCTTCTACTTTTGGCTACTGTGAGTTATGTAGCTATGAATATTCCCATAAAAGTTTTTACATTAATGTGTGCCAACATGTAGCACCCACACAGCAGAACACCCATCTAAATGGTAAGTTGGATAAGCAGGTCACTGGCAAGAAAGAAAATGAAACAAGTTTTCAACAGCTTCCAACTCCAAAGACAAAGAAAAAGCCTTTTAGGTCTCTCTTCTAACACTATTTTCTCAACATTTCAATTATGTGCTTGTGTGTCTCATGTTCAATTGCTTACAAATAGTTTCTCAGTAGCACCCTTTCCTTTGGCCTTCTCTGACTTGTTAGATACCAAAGCCCACAACGAAATAAAACACAGTGCAGAATATAAAAGCGTCAGGATCAAGAAGATACTTAGTTAATATGAATGTAGTCACTAAACATTTCGTACTGGCTGTAGATCTCACTGCCTCCATTTTCTTACAGGTATCAAAATCAACTTACTTCATTATTTTTATTGCACAGGATTTTGAACATGGCATTCAAAGAGCTAGCCAACCTTAGCTTTAAATCTGTTCCAATTTTATCCCTACAATTCAACACCCCTACCCAAACCTATCTCTGGATTTGCTGTTCATGTGTCTTTGCTTGGGCTATGACATCCCTTTCCTAATCAGATAGCTGTAAAAATCTAAGCCATAAGCCAGGCGACGGTGGCTCACACCTGTAATCCTACATACTGAGGAGGCTGAGATCTAAGAATCGAGGTTCAAAGCCAGCCTGGGCAGGAATGTCTCACCACCAGAAAATTAACCACCAGAAAACCATAAGTGGCACTGTGGCTCAAGTGTGGAACACTTGCCTTGAGCTGAAGAACTCAGGGAGAGTGCCCAGGCCTAGAGTTCATACCTATGACCAACAACAACAACAAATCCAAGCCATAAAGAAGCCAAGTTCCAATCATTTGGTGCAAGAAGCCTTCAATGGCTACCCCAGAACCTAATCTTTGTTTTCTTAGCACTCACTGTCATTCCCACTTCTGTTATATGCTCTCATTTGTTTATATGCTCTATTCACTTTGTTACATATGTTATCGTTTCCCAAATACAGCTCAGTTCCCTGAGAGGGCCACACATAACACCTAATGATCCTTTTTGTCTCATGGAGCTTGTACAATTCTCTGCATAGTGAGGGGCAAATAAATGCTAAAATAAATCCCTTCCTCTTTTATTCTTTTTCTATTATTGTATTGTACTTTCTGTATGTATACTTGTTTCTCTATCAGTTCTTTCTCCATTCTATTTTTGAGATCTACTAAAATACATGAGTGGGAACAAAAAAATTGATTCTTATTTGTAAGCTTAATTTTAAAAACCCCACTTTAAAATAAGTATTATTGATTGACTGCAACAGGGAGCTGGCAAACATTAAAAAATCATGTTCCTCTAATGGTCTGCCAAAGGGAGATAGGCCTCCTTTGTGAACTCCTTTTTAAGACTAGACTTGAAAACTCCATTAAACTCTTGCCTAGTTTCCATTTCCAACATTTTAAGTTGAACATTTCACTCCTATTTTAAAATTACAGAGATTGTTTTTCTCTCAAATTCACAAGTGCCTTTGCAGTCACCTTGAATGTACTTGTCACCATTCCATTTAATTTCATAGTTAAACTGAGGTTCAAAGTCAGCATGATGGCAGAGGCTCAAGCCTGTAATCCCTATGGGGAGGACTGAGTTCAAGGCCGGCCTGGGCTACATGATGAGACTCTGTCTCAAACCAAAACACACAA